CCGGACAGCTGCAATCAATCTTACAGTTTTGGGTCACGCTGGTTATACAAAATTTAGCAAAACATCTTGATACGTAAGGTCATGAGTCTAATGAAGACTGGAAACTCTTCAAGAATGAAAATTTCTTCTACAGAAAATACAGTTGTGTTTTAAATACAGAATAGTTAATGGATTCAAAAAATTCATCAAGCGCCACCATCAACTCAATCCCATATACAAACGATATCACTATGGGAGACCAAACATAACTAATGATAACCTTACCTATGGACCAAACTTTGAACAATAATATCAAACTTTAAGAAGCGTTGCGGTACTATTAAGATCCAGAGGCAAGATTATGAAAGTATATCTGTAAGACTGCGCAGTGATGATTTACGGTAGGGCCTAATCTCGAAAATTCGGAAAACTTCAGATACTTCAGAAAGTGAAGTTGATATGTGGGCTAAAGGGGCCTTTGAAAAAGCTGTTAGATAAAACAAAGTCTAACGTTCCGCTGGTCAGCAGACATTATTTTGAGTAGATTAATATCAAAGTCTACTAGACCATTTTTCAATCAGGTTATTTGTCTCATAAACTGAAACCCAATTAGGGGCCCAAATGCTAGAAGGTTTTTGTCTTTTTATGCAGTGTTCGTACGTCCTATACTTGAGTACTTCGCACAAGCGGCTGGCTCCTGATTAAAAAAGACTGAGCTTTCGGATAAGGTTCAGCGAACTGCAACTAAACTGATTCCCGGAATAGCGAAGCTTCCGTATGATGCTCGACTGGCCAAGCTAAACCTATTCACGATGTCGTATCTAAGACTTTTCACAAGACCAGAAAAAATTACATGTCAACTGACTATCGACTTACCCATCGAACCATCAATGGATGGAATTCATTACCTCAGCACGTGGTCGAGGCTCCATCTCCTGACACTTTCAAAAGAAAATTGTATCAACTTAGAGACCATCATTGCCTAGGAATAACACAGGCTACCAGCCCTTTACCAACTGAAGTACTTTCACGTTTCATAGTATTCTTATCCTTTCTAGCAAACGTTTACTCCATCTAAATAAAACATATTTTATTGTCCGAACCTCAGAGATGGTAACTAGTCACCTGGATATTGAGGATTAGTAATATGAAAGGAGGCAAATACAAAATATGGATACCAGCGCGTGGGTCAAAAAGGTCAAGTCTGCGAAAGCGACTGTCATTATTGAGGATGGTGAGCCGTCATTAATTTACCGAAACCTTGGAGTCATATTTTTCACCAGTAATTTTGAAGCTACCCCTTTCGCATTATAAATTAGGACTGAAATCAAGTAGAATTGAATTGCATCCATTTATATGTACTACATTTATCCAGTTGGTCACGCTCATGCATACTGAGCATCTTACACTGAATTTTCCATCATAAATGTACAGGACTGTCGTGTCACAAAATGGGCCACTACCTGGTTCGTCTATTCTACTCAAGCTTTTCAATTTTGTATCGCAGTAGTAGTGAATAATACCTTCATTTCTCAATACTACGAAACTGAAGTTATGCCTCGCTTAGAGTTACACCCTAAGTATATGTATAAGCGACTATAGTCGCTTGGGGTGACCGGACTACGGCAATAATCATCTGCATCGCAAATCGCCAGATAGCTATGTTTGCCAATGTAACCAGGTCGTTATTCTGGGCTATTTGAGATACCATTTCGTACTAATAGTACTTTAAGTTTTCATTTTCCTAGGCTAAAATTGTAGCCTTCAAGTAATTGAAGAGTAGCAACTGTAAGAAGATATAATGATAATACCTCACTCCGAACAAGTTTCTTTATGACTACTTTTTCAACAAATATGCGTACTTATCTAGAAAATAATATGCCAAAGCACTCATTGACTGCTTTCATATATATATATATATATATATATATATATATATATATATATATATATATATATATATATTGTTGAGCCACCATCCGAATCAAAGTATCTCAATAAATTGAAATCTTACGCCTTTTTCTTGTTAAAATTTTCTAGGAAAGCGTAAGGTCCACTTCTTATTTCCTGAAGGTTTGCAAATGGTTGAAGAATATGACTTGTCTACCCATAATCTACTGAGTAAGTATGCCTTGTTCAAATCACCTTATGATCATAATGAGCAAGGAAATTTAGAAGCAAAACCGTACTTGGTGGAGACGGGCAGTGGGAATATGAAGTTGGAGAATCACTTAGGAGAGAAAACCAGTTTTCAGAGCATCTAATGGAGTCATCACAAGCTGTATTTTAACATTTTCATTACCTTAGTAACAGAATTAGCCACTGTTCAGTCGTAGTGATGTTCCACATGCATTCCAATGGCGTATCCGTAACTTACCTTACCCGTTAGATGTGTACAGAGTTTCCGTTGAAGATGGAAATATCTTATTGCGGACCACCAACAAAAAGTAAGCACTACACTTAGTTTCGATTACTTTCAATTCAGATATTACAAAAAGTTCAACATTCCGGATATGACCCGAATGGGTTTACCCCTAAACGAAAAGTCCATATCATTAACCCATGCTAACAATACTCTTCTGATTTCGGTTTGTGATCTTCGTATCTAATCCGTTTTCTTCCTTCTAGTACAAAAAGCCGGAAGAAATATTAGAAAACGAAAAACTAGTCCGGCAATATGTAAGTACATTAAAGCCAGTAGAGCAACAAGAAGACTGCAAGACATCCTGACCAAATATAATAGTTTACTTAGTCCTTACAATATTTTCCGATGTGTTATGACTCAGCTTCTTGTTTTGCCCCCGCACATCCGAAAAGACAACTGGCTGTCAGCAATTTCGGACATGGAAAGTGCGTCAGCTCAGGTTGCCAGAATACATCAGGAGCGTAGTCAGAATTTATGAAAATGAATACCATGGTAGTAGCTGTTTCAGTTATAGCGAAAAAAATCAGCCACAAGCAATATAACTTGTGGAAAGATGAATGAGTTAAATAAAAAAGTAAGGTAATTTCTAAACTAAAGATTAAATGGCCCCTGTGGGATCGATTCTGTGTTGTCATCTGTCGACTTAGAGGAATAGTCAGTGAGGTCATTGACTGAAGCTTGTTATTTCGCCTGCTATTTTTATACTAGTAACTTATGTAGATTTTAAAAAACTTTTACAAGCATATGTGTGAGTAATTAGAATGTCATTGTTACACAAAGGTTTAGGAACTTTTAAAGCAGGAAACTCTAGAAAATTGTCGTTCAAGAAACGTTAGACTTCCCCGATGGTTTGAAGCTTATTAACCCAATAGTTCAAAGGTAAACATGTTTGGGATCTAAGTGTTTGCAGGGAGAACCTATAATTTTTACTTGTGTAGCGTATTCCTTCCTACAGTGATTTGCTCTGGCGAAAGGTTAAGTGACCAATAATCAGTAATCCTTATGGCACTCCTACTACACATTAGAAATACCAAAAGACTTCTAAATGTCGTGAATATAATTGCCAGAAGTTTTAGTCTCATTGAAACTTACTCATCAGCCAGTATATTGATAATGACTCATATTATGCCTTGATCTTACTATAGACAATCGTCCCCGTGTAGAAGGTGGGTAATTTGTTCTATTTCTGGGTACTCATCTGCACATTTAAAACATTCTGAGAATTCCATACTTATGCTTTAAGATGTAATAAGGATTTCACAAACACTTATATAAAGCTTCAATAAATGTGATGGAAAATTAGAAGACTGGTTTGGAAATAGAAGAATCTATGGCCTCTGAGATCACAGATGAACTAATGGTGTGAACTTTAATTGTTGTAGCAGTGATAAAACGAGAAATTACCACGTTTTTTTCATCTCACATAATTTGCATGTGATATGATCGCTTTCCTAGCTTAGCTTTGTTCATTACACCGTAACAACAGCTCGTTCATAAATAACCTCTAGGAGGGATTCTATCTTTCAACTTACATATGATATTGATCTTGTAAGAGGATAAGTCAGAAACTGAATTGTTGTAAGAAAAACTTGCACATATAGGATTATAAAATCACGGAAATTGTTAGACGTTATAAGTAGATGGAAATGTAGTACAGAACTGAATTTCATCAGAGGGTCATCCTTAAAACAGCATTATAACAGTAGTACCACAATCTGTAATTCGCATTATTGTTTGAATGCAAAGCTTCTCACAAGGGGACAATAACCAGTATGATGTTTCGATTTTTAGTATTTGTGAATAGCTATCGTGACAATTACTAATAGGAATCAATTTCATATCTCCCAAAAAGGTAACGTAATAATGGCTGTAGGACTCAACCTCAATGGTATTCAAATACGATATACATGGAGCTGAGATTTTTAAGCGCTTTGTGAAAAGCATAATAAATAACTAAGGGTACAGTAAAATCCAGAAATGCGTTCCATATATTATTTACGTCTATACTCGGTTTTCTGTAAAAAATATAGATACACAGAAAGAAACACCGAGTACATTTTCGAAATAAAACAATAAGTCATCCAAAAAGAATTTAAAAGACATTTCGTGAATGTGATTTCTTCAAGTTTGAACTGGGCATGATATTAATAAAACTGCGAAAGCCATTCACAAAAATTTAGGATAATAACCACTTTGATATCTCTATTGTCCTGTCGATGGATTTACAGATTAATGGGGTTATAAGTGAGCGATTATGTGTCTTATGACTATAAAATCAACATACAAATTATGTTCATGAAATTACAATTGAGGTCACATTAAATAACAAGATGTGGTATTTAATTGAAGCAGAGAACAAAAAGTATAATAGTCACTTCGAGAAAAGAATATACCCTCATTCATTCAATAAATGGATGGGCAAACATGCACTAATCAAGTTGTACTTAAGGACCAAGTTACATGTTCAGCACTATTTAACTCACAAAAATCTCTAACGCAGTACGGAATGAATCATGAGGCTTCTAAGATGTATGGATCATGAAACGCAATATTATATGGCCGATATTGTGTGAAACAAGTGGTTGGAGAGCTGCATCTAGCGCTTAGTCACATTTACCCCAAGTTGATGGACGTTAGTGAAAGCATTGTTGGTAATTGCAGAGCTAGTTTTGGAATCAATATTTGGTGGGCCAGGTGTGTCGCCCGAACCAGACATCCTCAGCTGCTCGAGTTTCTTCCATAATTCTTCACGTTCCTTCTCCCGTTTACGTTCCCTAAGAAAAATTAAATGGAATAAACTTTCAAATATTTAAGGAAATGGAACATAGGAATAAGTAACTGGAACAGTTTATGTAGAAATGTGATGTCTCTGGAATTTCATTGTTATTAGTATCTGTTTGTCTTATTAAACAGATAAGTATATTTAATCAACATCCAGGCGCACTGTGACGAGGTAACAACAAAAAGGAAATCAATATCTTGATAGTAAATCATGCCAACTGTCTAACGAAAAAAAACAGAAATGAAAGTGGTTTTAAAAGTAGGGAAGATATAGTTACTGTTTTTAAGCGCTTTTGAATGCCAAGGATGTGAACCGAAGAGTAATCGCATAAAACCCAATTGACCTAAACATACGTTTTCATATACATAAACCTGCGAAGTCAACACATAGAACCAAGGTAGAACAGTGTGGCCACATTTATTGAGTACACAATTCTTGACTTCAAACCATTTTAATGTCTATGAACAACGATCATCTGGGGAAATTGAACATAACTAATAGTTTTGTGCTACCAAACATTAATCGGAATGAAATTACATGTCTGAAAATGTTAAAGTTAAGAAAATAGTGGACCTAGATATATATTGAAAACGCACGGATATTACAAGAGCATTCATTTATACAGAATTATTGAGATAATCTAAAAACCACTTACCTTTGACGTTCTACTTTGTGTTTTTCAGCTAACTGATTGCACAAATTTGTATTCATTTCCATAAAGATTTTCAGAACATTTCCGACCAAAGCTACAATTGTTTGATTCCAATGCTCACGTGAAATACGATAGAATGATGGGAATAATATTGGTATAAGAGTGTCATGATTTTCTTCAATAAGAGAAACTATATTATCATTGTTCCAATAACTTAGTGCTCGTTCAGCAACCTAGGAAGTACATATTGTAAAATTCAGAAAATACATAAGCAAGTGAAGTGCATTGTATTTTTAGGCAGAAATATTGGTAAGCCACTGTTGGCATAAGCACTGTTAGGCAATTAAAAACACATTCTTAAAGTATAAGTCACTTAATTTACACACTACATTTTGCAGAACTTGGGAGCTGTTGAACATTACTGAGGATCTTTATGTACATACTGGAAAATTTATCCAATATGTAATCGTGTAACTGTTCCATAGGTAACTCCTTCAAGAACAAAAGTCGACAATAATATTTTTGATCAGAGACCAAATTATTTCAAATTTAATTCGTACTTGGGTTGCATGTAATTGAACCCTATAACCTAGCAGCTGAGTGAACCAACTTCCAATGTAAATTGGTGACATTATGTGGCGAACTGTAATACATTCCCAAGAACAAAACTAAAACAAACCTGAAAGTGGGAACTTGAGACTGACTTCGCAATTTGTTTAAAAAGAGGGACCATAATAATCTGGAATTGTAAAGGCTCAATAACTTCTAAGATTTCTTCAATTTCACCTAAAAACATAACTTCTTTTTGAGAGTAGGTTTTGGGCCAAAATTTTAAGAGTCCGCGAACAACCTGCTCTGTCAGAGTCGCATCTTTATCCAAGAACTGGACTATGCAGTAAGCAAGCTGAAGAATAGGATTAAAATAGAATAAAGAAATAAACTGATTAAAATTAATGCTTCAAATTAACTGGAACTTGAGAGGATAAAATATACGCTTTCTTAAATATCTGGCTAAGAATTGAACCTTAACAGATTGTAAGGCGATGTAACTACGGCAACTTATTGATACAATGTATGGAAAACAGGCGTGATCTAAATGTTTCAAGCAGTCATATAGTTCGTTTCAATTTGTATAATGTTCAATAGGTAAACACTTTTCCTATTTAGTGAGCGTCGATTAAAGAACTTCTTTCAAACAGGACGAACAGTTGATTCTAGTTTATTCTGAATAACATGCTAATTTGGATGGAATATTCGCGTCGATAGCTGAAAGACAAAACTGGTAGTCTCCAAAATTATCTTAACCAATGTAGATGTGTCTGAATAAAGTTCTCAGGAGCCACACCTGGAGAAGGCTTTTGAAATAACTCAGAATCGGATGAATAAGTACAACTAAACACAACAGCATTTTACGAAGAATGAAAATATCCAGAAACGTCCTTAACTCGGAGAGACCAGGTTTCACAAGCATAGAGCAAAACTGCTCTCACCGACGCGTTGTAGATCCGACCTTTTACAGCCAGACTAACATCACGAAGGCGCCAAAAATGACCCAGATTAGCATAAGCCGCTTTGGCTTTCACTATACGCGCATTGACCTCATCACTCACGCCACCACCAGCACTTATGCAGCTACCCAGGTACACGAACTTCTCGACTACTTCTATCTGCTCACCATCCAGAGTACAGGATTAGAATTCTACCAGTCTTGTAGGAGTACTTTGCACTTCGAAGGTGCAAAGCACATACCATACCTACGGACACTGATTGTCAACTGATTAAGTGCGGATTGCAATCCTCGGGCATTATCACAGTAAGACAATATCATCCGCATACTCAAGGTCGAGAAGTCTTTCTCCAGGCAACAGATCCACACCACCATTACCTACATTCATCAGAGCTGTTTCCAGAATGTCATCGATGGCAAAGTTGAAGAGAAATGGTGAGATTGGGCAACCCTGCCTAACCCCACTACTCGAATGGAACAATGGAGAGAGGTGGTTGTATGCCCTCACTCTGCCTGAGGTGTTTGTATATAGGGCTTTTAGGTGTTAATAAACTTCTCAGGCACACACTTCTTCAATAGACAATCCCAGAGAACAGTCCTGTCCAACGAATCGAAGGCAGCCCTAATGTTGGCCTTTGATAAGTATGGCGGTGTTCTCACATTTGGTGGGGGGTGACCATATGATCAATGCATCCTCGACCGGAACGAAAACCAGCCTGCTCCTCGCGAGTCAATCTTTCTCGGGTTTTGAACAACCTACGAAGTATGATGGAAGCCAATAGCTTGGACTCAATCGGAAGTAGACTTATCCCCCGATAGCTGTTACAGGAACGACGTGAACCCCTTTTAAAGATAGGGACAACTATCGACTCATTCCATGACGTTGGTACACTCACTAGTTCCCAAACCTTTGTAAACAACGCCGTCAGTTCCTTAGTCAAAAAGTCACCACCATCTTTAAAAAGAGCCGGAGGTAAGTCATCTGGGCCAGGTGATTTGTAATGCTTCAAGAGTTGGAGTTCTTTGCGGACTTTCTCCTCGTTTGGTGGATCAGTCGCCACCGGCCATGGAGAGCAGGACAGTCTGACCGATGTTGCCGGAGCAGCAGGCCAGTTGAACTGCCCTTCGAAAAATTCTGCCCATCGTCCAAGACGTCGATGGATGTTAGTGATTGGCATCCCATCATCCTCGCAGATTGTTTCGCTCACACCAGACTTCTTGCTGCCAGTGGCTCGGATGAGTTGGAAGAGCTTCCGGTAATTACCAGATGCAGCTGCTGCTTCCAACTCATTAGCACGCTTCGACCATCAGGCTTCTCGGTCCTTACGCAAGCTTTGCCCAATTTCCTTAAGTAACATCCTTCGTTTGTGGTCAAACTCACGGTCACCCGGAGTATACCGACATCAGTCAGCTACAACGTAGGACCAGGCACATATATGCAACGGTCCAGGTTGCCATACCGCATTAGCACAGCAAGATGAACACCGGATTCATAGGACTGGTTAGGTCAAAGGTGGTAATATATAGGAGAAAGATTGCATATAGAGACATAGTACGAGAAGAAAGAATTAGTTAGTAGAAAGAAAGATATGAAGTGATTTTAATCTCTTAGTTTAAGGGAAGACAGGGAGTGTATACACCGACGCCAGTGTGATCGATTCTGAGCCATGTCACCAAGAGTCTCCAACCATCGGCTCCAATGAGTTGTAAGGTGCCTGAAGAAACCCAGTGCTTAAAAGCGGGACGTTTCGCAAACCCACAACTGACTGTTCCCGCCATTTTCATGGCGGGAGAATAGGCGGAGACGACAAAGAGGCAGCGACGAGTGTCCTTATCTTTTCGAGTCTTTACTGTTCCGTGTAGTCGGACAGTGCACAAACGACTGTCTACAATTGTAGAGTAGCTGAAGGCCAGCTGAACTGCTCCTTAAAATGTTCCGCCCATCGTTCTAAACGTCTGGACTGAGGATAGATAAGATTCCCGTCTTCTGAGATCGTTTCACTTACACTTGACTTATTAATCCCGGTTTCTCTTATTAGTCTGAAAAGCCGTCTGGTGTTGCCTACACCCACTGCCTTTTCCATATATTTTGTTTTGTTGCCCACCACTGCTCACGATCGTTCCGTAGACTTTTGGTTGAACTACATCTGATTCGTTTTCGCTCCTCGTCGTGTTCGGAGTCTGATGGGTCTATCAATGCAATGGATGTTGCAGAAATTCGCTGGTTTTTCGTAACCCTTTGGTTCAAATCATTAATGAATGTCGCTGTTGTTTTCATAGCTGCTCGTATATCTTTCGAAGCAACATCTGGGTCATCCTCGTTTTCATAACTGTCTAAATGTGACTTCAGTTGTTCCTGGAATTTACCTTAGGCTTTCTCAATGCTGAGTTCAACTACATATGTCTTTCTGTTTGGTTTAAGCTGCCTACTTGGACATTACAGTCACCTGCTACGAGTATTATATCTGAGTGTTTAGCTTTTCGAAGTTTAGGAAGGTCTCAGTAAAATTCATTTTCCAATGCATCCGGGTTGCAGTCAGTAGGAGCGTAAGCAGAAATGACGAAGAGGTAACGACGTGTCCCTATCCTTCCGAGTTCTTATGGAGCCATTTAGCTGAACAACACATAGGCTAATGTTAACAGGGATTCATTCTAAGCGATTTCCCTGCCCTCATGCTCATTGCTATGCCAACACTTGCCAGTCAACGAGAACGTGCTGTGGGATTGCCAGATACACAGAGGGTGTATCTCGCCGGCTCTCAATTTTGGAGAGGTGAGGTCAAGTGAATGACCATACTAGGATCCTGTATATGTGCTTCGCAGATACAGCATACATCAGTGGTACGAGATTCTAGGGTCCTAGTCAAGGAGGCCTGCTGACCGTTTTGACATATGGTGCGTATGTTGAAGGCTCCAATGTGTAGTTTGGAGCGAGGTTTCAGTAGACCTGGGACAGTGTTTCGTGCACTAGAATCGTTGGCCATGATGACACTTGAGGAGGAAGTCAAAAAAGCAAGTTTAGAGTTGAAATTCGACATAGGAGGAACAATGGGAATTGAAGAGGGAGAGTGATTATGAATACAGTGATCTTGAGTGCTGTTAGAGGTATAAGGGCGGTTATCATTTCCCAGTTTCACACAATGTGGAGGGGTTATTCTAAAGGTACTTGAAAGGGAAATTGGGTTCGAGTTGGTCCTAGTGACCTGAGTGCGTGACCCCAATGCCCAAGGGACAACTGCTTGAGGTCGGTCGCACACCTTTTTCTGGGTAATTTTTGTGTTAGCTCCGTACTTGTTGAGACCTTATTACCGGAGACGGAAATCCGTGGGATAAGGCGAGGTGTGCATTCTTAGGGTCGACCTTTTCTAGCCCCACCCCTCCTTGTGGGAAGACAGCATTGCTGTTATGCTGGTTATCTGAGGGAAACACGTTACTGCCGTCACACCTCTGTACAGCCAGTATTACAATTTCGCCCTCGAACCTTAAGTTTGTTGGTTTTAGTCGTACCGCTCTTCGACCGACTTGTCTGGCATGGTAGTACCTAGAGGAACGGTTGTTCCAGTCAATAAAACCCGGCTGGTTCATCACGATAGGTGAGGCCGATCACCGCATTAAGGTGGCAACAACGGTCGAGGGTTGATGTCGGTAGGTTAGATAACTTATTTTGCGAATGTCTTGTATATAACAGAACAACAAAGTGTTTTACACAGCGAAGCAAACCAAATTAATGGCACCTCTTGTAACAAGTTGGGTTTCAATATGCGTAAAAGCCTAAATTTGACTGATGTCAACTTGAAACATCATTTGTAACACCAACTAATAAATATGCGTACTTTTGTTCTCCTCAAATGGTACTCTATACCAGAGTTTAAAAATCTAGAAGGACAGTAAACAGTTATCTGTGCAAATAAGTAACTTCCAGCAGCAAAAAATTACTTAAAACTTAGTCTAATCACAATGCTAATAATTACATTTATTTAAAGGGAACAAGCAAAGACAAGTATTGTCTTAGTTATACCTAAAAATACCCACAATAAACTTTTTGACAACTCACTTGAGGATGGAAGGTCACTAAGGACTTGGCTTTGTGAAGTGGGATCAAAACTTTTGCGAGGAACCGAGTGTGTTCAGACTTAAGTGGGAGGGCGAAACCATTTATAATACTCCCCAAAATTTCAAGCAACTCCCCAACACCATTGAACTGTTCCGTTTCATATATGAATCTAGAAATAATTTTCCCAAGACTTTGATAATACCTTAGAAATATATTGTTAATCTGCTTTCTGATAAAAGACCTTAATCCCAAAAACTTCCCGTAGATACGATGAACCACGGTCTTTAGCAGCTCACGTTCTCGAGGATCTTCGCTATCGAACAGCTCCAGTAACTAATTTTCGTATTGTAAAACTAACAATTTACTTGAAGTACAAATTTCTGGTCAATATATTTTTTAGCAGCAACTGGTTGAAAATCAGGAGACTCAAGGAAACGCAGGAAAAACTCATAGACGTACTATGAAAATGTGCTTAAGTAAAACAAGTTATTACTGAAAGGTGAGGCCAGGCTGCTTCCAAAATTGGATCGTCTTCCTCGGGATCAAAGTCCGGATTGTCAGAGGGTGGGAGAGGTCTGAAAATGTTGCAAGCAATCTAAGAACGTGCTATCACAAACATAAGTCTAGGACAAACCATGGAAACAATCGGTTGGTAAACAGATTCATTCAACGCGTTCCTTGTTACGCTTATGTACTCTACCAGCTCATTCAAGAAAGTTCTTTTGATCTCTTTACTACTGACATCAGAGGTTGAGTCCTCAAAGTTAAAGACAACGCAGCATTGCTGAAGTTTCTTCACAAACAACTCTTGGTGCTCAGAAGGAGAGACATCTAAAATTCGATCTTATAAGTGGGTTTATGAACCTTTAAATGCCGGTAAACGTGTTAGTTCAGTTGGTGCTTTTGGTCTATAATGTGAAGATCCTTGGGATCTTTTCTGTTTCTTTCCCTTTATTTCTGCCTTAGTTCTAAACGGGTCAAGCTTAGGGATATCCTTTGACATCTCTTCTACAAAGATTCAGGGAAAGCGCACTCGCACACATACAATATTCAATGTCACTAAAGTGATCAAAAAATATTTGGAGCATACCGAACAGGAAAGTGGTGAAAATAACTAACTGATTGTTCCTTCACGTTGTTAATTTATGTCTACGAATAACTCTGGTTTTCTCTACATAAGGATTTGGGTCCCGATTGTGTTCCCATCCACTTAGACTCCCTAACAAATTTCACTTTGAAGATAAAATGTTGGGGACGATAGATCCCCAAAACTCAAATTTTGTTAATTTACTTATCGATTAAATATGCAGATAGGTCAATTGATGAACTATCGATTAAATGTACAAATAGCAGTCAATTGTTGATTAATGTTCAAAAATCTTCCATGACAATATCGATTGTAAATATTTGTATAAATACGCTTGACTTGTATGCTTGATCTGATCTGCCTGCCTGACTTGTTGTCTGCTGTTTGTCTGTAGAATACACTTTCTACACCTTACCCAGACTTCTTGATCGAGTTAGCAGAGTTGGGGACAACGGACCAGAATAGACTATCGAGATTCTGAACCCTTGATCCGATCGATAATTCACTGTCATATAATCGGCTGTCTCCTTGAGCCATAACAATTGGCGACGGGGTAAAAAAATACAATCCAAAGTCATTCTGTAATTGGACGAAATCCAGTCTAATTATTCAATCAATCAGTATCCAGTTTGTCATCAGTGTCCCTGAACGACATTGGTCATTATTCATACAGTAATCTTCATTGCTGGTGCTGATCCAAAAAATGACACTCCCTTCCGATCGATTGCAGCTGCTCTTTGAACGACATTTGGAGTTATTAGTCAAGTTCCTCACGCAGCTGCTAAGTCAGACATGCTATGAAGATGCGACGGAAGTGGATGGATTGATATCTGAGTTACACAGTGAGCTGGAAAATGACAGCAGCCTCCATGAATCCTCGATTAACTGTACTTCAAACGGAACGGCAGTCATCCATGATGCGCCCAGTGGTCCAGTCCTCTCCATTCCAGAAACATGCCCGGTAATGGACTCAAACTCCATTATCCCCAAAACAGCAGGTGCAGACGGTGACTTATCCAGCTCACAAACACACTCCCTGGCAAATGCTCATAGAATTGTCGCAATAACCACCCATGAAACAGAAAACAAATCGAGCAGTACACTGAATACAACTTCTTCAAATGGTTCTCATCAGTCTGCGACAGATGTTTTTGACAAATCTTATTATCAAGATTCTCTTTTACCAGAAAATATGTCAGATGCATCAAATGATGATCAAAAACTTAATACAATTTTGATAGATGCTAATTACCTTGATGATCGATTATCTACAAATAAGATTCCAAATAAATTTGGTCACAATATTTCAGAAGAATTAAACTTCGAACACCTCATATCAAGTGTCGTTCAGCCTCAAGACTTAGTCACTTTCAGTCAATTCTCTGTTCAGTGCGATAAATATGTCTTAAATAAATTCAAGTTAATTATAACGTGGGCATATGAGGATCCAACACTGTTTCGTGGGGGAGGATGGACCTGGAAAACTTAAAATCCGGATATCAACTCCGGATCTTCTAAAAAGGGGAGGAGTGTTGGGGACGATAGATCCCCAAAACTCAAATTTTGTTAATTTACTTATCGATTAAATATGCAGATAGGTCAATTGATGAACTATCGATTAAATGTACAAATAGCAGTCAATTGTTGATTAATGTTCAAAAATCTTCCATGACAATATCGATTGTAAATATTTGTATAAATACGCTTGACTTGTATGCTTGATCTGATCTGCCTGCCTGACTTGTTGTCTGCTGTTTGTCTGTAGAATACACTTTCTACACCTTACCCAGACTTCTTGATCGAGTTAGCAGAGTTGGGGACAACGGACCAGAATAGTGTATCGAGTTGCTGAATCATTGATCCTTCGTTCGTTCGAGTAAGACGCATCAGTAATCGCATTCAAGCAATAATGAAACATAACATAAAATTATCTTGATATTATAGCATAACTTTTCTTTTGGCCAAGAAAATAACTTTTTACATGTCAGAACATTTAAAAGACTCTACCTTTTTGTTATTACCGAGCTGGTGCTATACTCCACCTTCTCACGTTTACCTTAATGAAGTAGTATGTAAGCCATTTTGTTATCAAATTACTCCTTAAAGTAAGCAGTTTTATCAACGTTAAACATTTTTCCGAACTCCCTTAGTCTCAAATGACGTTTATAAACTATAGTCGCTCGATCGACCACCATCACAAAATCACCCCGCGGCCTGCCGTATAGCGCCAATTCTCAATTCTCATATCCCACTATACCTCTGAATGCAACTAAATACCTTGCTCCGCTTAATTACTGTTCATTTCTTTGTATGTCTTTAAGTTACTTTGTCAAAAGATACTTGTCTAAATGGTATTCTATGAATGTTTCCTCAATTCAGCCTTCATATATGCATATTTATACAAAAGCTTTACCCTTTGTGCTCTTTATATGAGTATATGTAACATAAAATTAATCACAGATACCCTTAAACTTCATAGTGAAACTCTTCACTTAAATAATTCTACTGGTTGTGGACAGAATATAAGAAGCTGTCGCTTAACGGGTGATGATGTCACAGGTATTCAGTGTTTGACAACGCTTCTACCAGTAACACCTTCTAATGTATTTCGTTCCCACCCAGAGAAATCGAAAGACAGAGTCGAGGAGTTCGGAAGAGTATATTTGGCGATGACCAATATATCGGAATTCTCTGATCTAATCTGGCTAGCGATTGCGGTTGATGTTGAGCACGGCGTTACCACACGTGATCTGGTGCGGATGCATGACCGAGCGCCTTCGGCTAGATGAGTCCACTAAAACATATGGTCAGCATCCAATGTCGAAAACTTAGTGCTATTTATTTTGGGGATTTATTTACCGCTACACGGGCTTCCGTGTCTAGTGTCTGTGGATCACCAATACCTTTTGGCAGGAACCTAGGTATATTATCGATAAAAGAGGAAAAAGAAATCGGTAAATTATAGTAAGTACTATCGTTAGTCCCTAAGATGCTACCTCTTAAAGAACTCCTGGGAAGTCGCTTACACTAGCTCAGCCGGCAGCAAATTCCAGCACTTGGTAACTCTTAAAATGTTTCCGATTTCATTTCGTGGCTTGCCCTTGGATACGCTCCAGAGTGTCCTTATCCTTTCGGAATGAGGAAGAAAACATTATTTTTTCTTACACTAAGTGGGGACGAATGAAACTGTTGAAGATTATGAGGAAAGTTTGAAGATGCCACAGGTATTTGGAGTTTGACAACGCTCTATCCAGTAACACCTAGTATGAATCATACCCACCAAGTGAAATCATAGGACAGAAGCGAGGACGTTCGAAGATATATAGATGTTTAAACCTAACGAATTTGTAGTTGGTAAACACTCTTCTGACGGCTTGTTATGTTTAGCAGCGTCTGGTCGTCTTTCTTTACTATAAAGGACTATGAAGCACAATATAGTAAAAAAGAAAAAGTACGATGAAAAGTTCATTTCCTCGTAAACTTCACCGTTCTTTTTATCGCCTTTTCTAGCCGTACTGGAAAAGAAAAAAATTTGCAAGTGCATGTCGAAATACATTCGTAAGCGCGTAAAAACACAAAGCGGGAGAGAAAAGGAAAATAAACTCATGCACACGTAATAGCGTAAAAAAAGGATTTTTGCAAAATGGTCTTTTTGTTTCTTTGGAATAAAAATATGTGAATATAAGCATATTAAAATTGGTTTTTATATATTATATATAGTACAAAGAAAAATCGAGATGATATCAAATGTCAATTAGTATCATACGTGCAGTAATCGTTCAAATGTTCTGGAAATCTTACTCTTCTTCCAGAACGCGTTGTTTTCAGTTTATTTTCTGATACTGCAGAAGTATCATCGTGCGTGTTGGCTGTTGAATAAGGTATTATAAGTGTAGGAGCCGTGTCGTTCGATTGTACCGAAGTGAAATCGACGTGAATAGGATGCTTTGGGGCGATCGGTGCTGATGCTGTCTTTGGTTCTGTTCTTATCGACTATATAGTGCTTAGATTCACGTTGAAGAACTTTGAAGGGTCCTTCGTATGCTGATTCGAATGGTCGTCGATGTGAGTCTGGACGAGCGAAGGCGTGTGTATTATATCGTAAGTCAGGTTGAACGAAGACATCAGTTGATTGAGGTCGAGTGGGAAGAGGTTTAACTGAACGCATTGCGTTTGTAAGCCTGTTCGTGTAGTAGGTAAGATCCATGTTCATTGAAGAGGATGAAGGATCCACGAATTCTCCTGGAAGTCGAAGTGTCGTTCCATAAACGAGTTGAGACGCAGTGTATCCAATGTCAGCTTTCACTGCATTGCGGATATCCAGTAAGACGAGTGGAAAGTTCAGATTCAAACTGACGTCCGCGATCTGTAGTGATGGTTGAAGGCCAGCCGAAGTTTGCTACCCATCGTCCGACGAAAGCGCGAGCCACTGTTTCAGCAGTGATGTCCTTGATAGGTACTGCTTCTGGCCATCTAGTGAAATAGTCTACGAAGGTCAAGAGATAACAGTATCTGGTAAAGGTCCTACCGAATCCAGATGAACATAATCGAAACGTGCATCAGGAGTTTTAAATGAGCCTAAGGGAGATTTATTGTGTCTGATAACCTTAAATTTTTGGCAGCTTACACAGGAGCGTGCCCACTTCCTCACGTCTTTATTCATTCCAGGCCAGCAAAACCGTTCTGCTATGAGCTTCATGGTTGCACGAACACCTGGATGCGAAAGTTTGTGCAATGTGTTGAAGACATTGCGTCGATAATGTTTTGGCACGATTGGGCGATCCCTACCTGTGGATGTGTCACAAAGTAAGATTTCCTTACCTATTTCCAACTGTTTGGTGCATAGCTTGAGTGTTGTAGACGATAACTCGTGCTGAAGATCAGTGTCTTCTTTTTGAAGCTCAGCGAGTTTAAGAAGGTGGATTCCTTGGAAACTGTTCAAGGAAGTTATTCGGGACAAGGCGTCTGCGACTACATTGTTTGCTCCAGATATGTGTTGAATATCTGAAGTAAGCTGCGAAATGTAGTCCAGTTGTCGAGACTCACGTGGTGAGTACTTGTCCGAAGAGGAGCTCGAAGAGAGAGTAAGCGGCTTATGGTCAGTAAAAATAGTGAGTTCTTTGCCTTCAATGGAGTGTTGAAAATGCCGTACAGCACAATACTTAGCTAGGAGTTCCCTACCGAATGTGCTGCACCTCGATTCAGTGTCTAACAACCATCTGGAGAAAAACGCTAAAGGTTGCCAGAAGTTGTTAACCCATTGTTGTAAGACTCCTCTGATTGCTGAGTTCGATGCGTCTACTGCGATAGTAATGTGTGCTTCGGTGTCCTGATGTGCGAGCATTGTTGATTTAGCGATCAGTTCCTTAACTGTGGAGTACGCTTTTCGTGTAGTGTCGTCCAAATTAATCGATTTCGTATTTCCACGAAGTTGGTCGGTAAGAGGTTTCATAAGTAATGCGCATTTCGTTATGAATCGTCTGTGAAAACTTACAAGGCCCTTAAATGTGCGCAGTTGCATAATGGTGGTCACTTCTGGGTAATACAGAGTGGCCGCCACTTTGGTTCTAAGTGGTCGAATGCCTTGAGCATCGATAGTGTATTCTAGGAAGTCTAATGAGTCAGTTCCGATTTGGCGTTTCTAAATGTTTACAGTAGTGCCATGTTTTTGTAGTCGTTAGAAAACAAGATCCAGATGCTGGAGGTGCGATTCTCTGTCCGAACTAGCTATTAAGCGGTCGCCAACATACGCATGTACGAAGTTGAAACCTCGAAAAACGTCGTCTATGAATCTTTGGAATGTTTGAGCAGCGTTTCTTAGACCGAAAGGCATTCGCAAAAATTCATAGAGTCCGAAGGGGGTGATGATAGCGGTTTTCAGAATATCGTCTGTAGCCATAGGGATTTGGTTATACGCTTTAACCAAGTTGATTTTCGAAAAGACAGCTGTACCTTTCAGGGTAACTGTCAAATCGTGAATGTGAGGTAACGGGTAACGATCGGTAATGGTTTTTGCATTCAATCGCCGATAGTCACCAGTTGGACGCCAATCGTTGCTGTCCTTTTTAAGGACCATGTGGGAGGGAGATGCATATGGGCTGTTTGACGGTCGTATGATTCCTAAGTCTATCGTGTGGTCGAATTCTTTTTTGGCCAGCCGTAGCTTTTCGGGAGCCAGTCGGCGTGCTTTAGAGAATACAGGTGGTCCTGTACTCGTGATGTGATGTGTAACGTTGCTCATTACACACGGCAATTTCGATTGCGATTGGTATATCTCATAATACTTAACGAATAGTGGTTGATAGAATGAGTCTATCGTGTGGTTAATTGTGACTGGAGATAATCTGCAACCTGGAAAAGCAGCTACGCAGACAGATAAATTAGTGTTTCCGTCTACTGGGCCTCCGCTTACGCGTATCGATGAGTAGATTGTGGTGTTGTGGGAGGTCTATGCCAATGATCGGCATAGAAACACCAGCAACAACAAAGATCCAGTGAATGGATTTGCGTTAGGGTAAACGTACCTT